AACGTTAAATCGATGCGGTAATCTAGAGTTATTAGCCGATCCTCCGTCACGATCGTTGCCTTTTCCCAATATCCTGCCCCGGAGAACGCCCTCGAGCCGATCGATGCCATTCACGGTCTCATTGACTCCCTACGACTTTCAAGAGCCAATTCGGCGTCGATATTGAAGGAAATAATTCGAAAAGACAAAGGGAAAATTATCGGAGGTCCATGGGCGGGCCTATTCCAAGAATCATGAGCGAGAAAACGCGAGCATTGTTTAGAAGATATGATCATTGCCTAAACAATTGACACGGCTAGACCAAGACTGTCCCTATGAACATTGGACGGAACGGCACTTGGTCAAGGATCTTAGAACGGAGCACTTGGATCCATTTTCTATACGTCTGGTTTTGAACTATAAGTCAATTAGTATTTCTGTAAGTCTACAAAATATAGACTTGTCAATAGTAGATTCGCCTTCGGTAATTTCACCTCCTACAATATCGATAATCAAGGATCGCCGATGTGTCGTTATTCCGTGGCCGGAATTTGTTCTTTACCCGGCACGAGTCATCGCTTTCCTTTCCTGTCTACACTCGCGGGTTTACCGATACGCTTATCATGACGCCCTTATCAGTTATTTAGAGCAATTGTTTGTTTTCCCGGTGAGGCATAGGGTGATAAGACGTAAGCCTCTGTGGCCGACGTTTATCAATTCTCGGTGTTTACAATTCCGAAAATCGACTCGCGAAGCTCTTGCATGGCGATAGCTGGGCGTAATAAAAATGAGGGAAAAATTAGTCGTACTCGTTGCAGTTACCGTGCATACTTTCAAGTGCAATGGTGCATCGTCTTCCCTCGCATTCGGGGTGTTCGTTCGACTCGTAAGCCTCGTGAGTCTGTAGGTGCTCAAGCAGTCGAGACACTCCCGGGGGTTAGGAAGAAGTTAGCGCTTTCATTGTTCCCTCGCACGGACGGTGCTTGCAAGCTCGAGTCCCCCGTTATGCAGATGCGCTTCATGTTTATTCTTTGCACGATTTCCTCTCGGGCTGCCGCACTGCTTCCCCACGTGCGCTTCTTCCCGCTCGGCGCAGTGCCAGTGCACAGATGCAACTGTGCACCGGCGGGCATTTTATTTATCTCCTCCTTGGGAGGAACAAACGTTGCCACGGAGACGGGATGAAGGACTCTCCTCCAGCTACTTTCGAGGGGCTTGGGAACTTGCGACATTATTGCGTAGTCGTCTCGCCTAGGGCGAGCTCCTCCTAATATCATATTCAGTTTTTAACATTTTTTACCCGGCTCTGTTTACTTTTTAATACTTCAACTTGGACAAGCCAGGAAATCCCATACTCGTACCGCTACGAAGTAAAACGCACCTTCACATTTGGCAGGAATATTTTATCCTAGATGTTTCAATAGCATTAAAGCTCTAGATTATTTTTTTTTCTCTTAATAACGAGATATTAATCTTGAGCCTTTCACGCGAGGAGAGTGATTCGAGCTATTTTTCCAATGAATCGAATCAATTTTCGAGGGACCTCGCAATTTTTTAGCGTTATCGCACAGAGGGGAGTTGCCTTGTATACTGACTAAAATCGATGGAAATTTCCATACGTTTGTACATATCTCATGACTGAGGGTTTACACAGGAAAGCGTAAAATGGTAAAATTGCAAATCGGAATATGTATAAATACACGTAACACTGTATATTTCCCGTATTAGTGCATTATTACTAGAATGAAATGTAACATTACCTCACAGTTTTCATTAGCTTAACTTAGATGCTGAATGTGATATTACAGAGGTAATGTAACTTTACTGGAATTTATTCTCTCATCGGAATAACAAATGATTATGTAAATTGACACGGGCATTTTGATCAGGTTAGGGTGTTCTTTTTAGAGGAGCTTGCAATCGATGGCTATCTCGTTGGTCGTCGTTTCTTTGCAATTAGTCGTCTTTGGACGTCCCTCCCCACGGGATACCTCGTTTGCAAGGCTAAACGACTATCTCGTAATAACTGTCCCATATCGCTGGTGCCTCTTCAGGGTCGACGAGGTAGTCTCGCGGTAGACAGAACTTCCAGCCTGAAATTTAACGGCAGATACAACAGTCGCCTCCCTTCCACCTGGAAACACGTACGTCTGTACACGTCGAAGCTGCGTCTGCCTCGTCTCTCTCGTAGCAATTATTCGGCCTCCGGATGCGACGAGACAAGACACTTCGTCGCGGCGCGCTATGACATTATACACCCTCGTTAAACGCGGCCGCTTAATTGCGGAGAAGATACATCCGCCGTAGCTCTTAGAGACACGCGTTCGGGAATTTTCCCGGTAATTTCCCCGGGTTGCGCGCCTCCCCCCCGTATAAATTAAGCAGACGGAATTGCGCAATTTCATAATTCCATCGTTCCATCGTTTCATAATCCCGGGACCGTTTCGCCGCGCGCAGTTTCCCATCGGCCCTCGTCGTCGATACGGAGGAAAAGGATTGTTTCATTTCCCGAGCCGGGGGATCTACCTCGAGCATCGCGCCGAGTACTCCCGGGCGTTATGAGTTTTTACAACGACTTTCGACAGTTTCGGATATCGATATCCGATCGTCCACGTACCTCTGCCTCCACCCCGCCGTGTTATGGAGCCCGGAGTCGCCGGTCAAAGGACGATTCCGGGCGACGAAATGGCCGCCTCGTGACCGAACTCAAAGCGAACTCCTCCCTCGGGACTCGAAATCCAGGCTGAAAGGGAAAAATCCCTGGAGGCTGTCTCCGGATCTCCTACCTCGGTGGAAAAGTCCCTATGGAGCCTCCCAAGGAAAGTTCCTGCGGTTCCCTGGAAAGATGTATACTACATGGAAAATAATAATTTCGTTACAATTACTATAGAGACATGGTTAGAATTATATCGGAAGTAAAACCACATAAATCGGGAAATTTAATACATGGAATGGTAAATGTAATGATTTAATTGCAAGGTCATTCAAAACTTGCCTATGTGATTACATTTACCTACTGCAGGTAGAACTGTACGAGGACCCTGACAGAAACATAAGTACAGCGTTCGTAATCGCAATAATAATCGAATTTTATATGTCAACGGTACATGTTTAAATGGATATTCACAACTATGCACAATGTTGGAACAACTCGTTCCTTGTAGTTACATTGACTAAATCGTGAAGTAACGTTTACTATGTTACGCTGGTTACATTGATTAAATAGTGAAGTAACCCTTACTACGTTCTATTTGCTTTGTGGTTTTCCTAACCATTCTTTTTTTTCCCGTGTAATGGCGTCGGGAATATCGATAAATCGGGATATATCGAGTGGTGTCGAGCTCTCGATCGACTCGCTCGTTCCGTGCACTTAGCGGCTGCGCTTTACGAGGAAAGCTCTCGAGCTTTCCTTCCAGCCGTAGTTATTGTATTTTATCTGACGCCGGGCCTGTAAAAACTTGTAAATACCGTGGTGGGTATCGCGATGTACTTAGGGGTTTGCTTAATGCACGTCATGTTCCGAGTAAGGTCGCCGCTTGGAACGGTTCTTTTGACGCGTTTTTCCTCGCCGTGTCGCCTTACCTCAGCCTCGGGAATTCCCACCTTGTTGGAAAATGAAAGCACCGTCGGTCGTCTTCCTCGCAACTTCCGGGACTCGCCGCTCGTTAATGCAACGGCGAGCAATTCTTACCGTTAGGAGGTTTAGTACGTCGGGATGATGGCTCGCGAGAAATGACGCCATTAATGGCCGAGCATCCTCCGAGGTAGGACGATGCAATTTCTACTTGGAAACGGGGTTCCTCAACATCGGTGCCTGCAATTCGATAAAAATGCCGCCTAACGATGGCTCGCGTTAACCAACTTTTCTCACAGATCTCTATCTCGCGTATATACCCGAAGGCCTCGAAGAAGCGATATTTATGGAATTATTAAGGTGATATCAAAGAGTCTATATATGTATAGCAGGGAAGTTAAATCATTGGTAAAAGTATCTCGTTAACCAACTTTTCACACAGATCTCCTTCTCGCGTATATACCCGAAGGCCTCGAAGAAGCGATATTTATGGAATTATTAAGGTGATATCAAAGGGTCTATATATGCATATCAGGGAAGTCAAATCGTTGGTAAAAGTATCTCGTTAACCAACTTTTCACACAGATCTCCCTCTCGCGTATATACCCGAAGGCCTCAAAGAAGCGATATTTATGGAATTATTAAGGTGATATGAAAGGGTATATATATGTATATCAGGGAAGTCAAATCGTTGGTAAAAGTATCTCGTTAATCAACTTTTCGCACGAATCTCCCACTCGCATATATACCCGAACGCCTCGAAGAAGCGATATTTATGGAATTATTAAGGTGATATCAAAGGGTCTATATATGTATATCAAGGAAGTCAAAAAATTGAAATTTCATGAGTTTCAGGACCTTCCTTATACCCTTTATATCGATATCGTAAAGTTTTAATCGATTTAGTACACCCAGTTTGGAGAGAAGTTTCATGAACGATAACTCTTTGACGCCCCTTTCGCATCAGTTTAATCAATTTTAGAATATCAAAAACTCGAGTCCGGTCGTTTCGGGAAATTTATACTGTTTGCTGGCCATTAGGGACAGCAAAGTTCAGCGCTGTAACGGCATCCTAATTACCATCGGAATAAGTGAATTCCGCAGTTGTTAACGAGTCATTTTCCCTCCCACGCACCGCCGGTAATTACTCAAACAACGTACTTCCGAGGGTTGCTCTTTGAACAGTAGTTACCTCCGCCGTTAAAGTCCGTCATATCGGATTTGTTGTTGTATAATGCTCCTAAATTGGGAAGCAACTTTTGGAGCGGCTTGTATACTTTTCTGAAAAAAAACTGACATTTGCGCCCCTCTCTTGGTATACTTTGATCAAAGTCCTAGGGGGTGCATTCCTCCTGGAAAGATTTTGAATGGACATATAAAAATAAGCGGTTTTTAGGATCAAAAAGTAAATGATCTTCGTTTTAATTCCTCCTTGTGTCTTTTGCAGCTGGAGCCGCTCCTGAGGAAACTAGCCAAAGGTCCAGCTCTGCACACAATCGCCACTCTCTCTCGAAGGGTAAGCTCCACCGTCATTTAAATCGATGTCTAATAAGAGCGAGAGGTCCGATTCGAGGGAACCTCTCCTTCTATTAGAAAAGACCTCCCCTGTGTTTCGCATCCCTCGGGGGAATTATTCACTCGTGGTTAACGAATCTAATTCTGCAACCCCACGTGTACGGTTAAACGGATAAATTTGAGGTGGAGTCCTTTTTAATAGGAAATATATTTCACGTGCGCCCCCTAGGGAAAAAGTAAAGCTCTGAGGATATATATCCAGCCTCGCCAAGGCTCGGAATTATGCCTTAATTTCCCCGGAAAAGGGAAAAAATGGGGTTATTAATGGCCAAATGGAATTATGACGGCGAAAGTGACGACGGGCTCGCGCGGAGGAACGTGACTGGTATGTAATGCCCGGGGTTTTATGTAACTGAAACGTACATACCGTGGATATTGGTACTCGTTACCCAGTGTACATACATCGCTCCCATCTTCCCGGGCCTCGATCGCAGCCCCTAAGTGAATACTCGAGGGCAGTGTTTGTTCTGCCTCCAGCTCGAATTTATCCCGTTGCCAACAGTTCCTAATAACATGGATTACCCGCCGAAGCGATTGGAAATGCTGGGAAACGTTCCCAGCTGTTTTCCGTCGAATCGGATCTACTCCGGCGTTCTTCTGAACCATCGCCTCTAGAGCTGATCTCCAGAAACCTAAACACCTCGATTAATTAAACACGAAACTTACACCGCGGAAAAAAAAAGAAAATAAAAAGAAAAAAGAACTCATGGAACCACAGAATATACTTCTTTGAACAGTGCCAAAGAAATAGTTTTGCTAGTCCGAAAAATAATTGCTCGACCGAAATGAACTCAAATAATTTCTCATAATTCCGAAGAATCGTTGGATCCAATTTATTCGAGTTTATTTGAGTGAAATAATTACTCTCCGAATTATCCAAATATTTCATTGGTGTCGTTCATAGAGATGTTTCTGCGAATTTTGTGGGTAAATTCTTTTTCTCAAGGTACAGGTGGAATTTCACGTCGAACTTGGAAGATGACGTGCAAAAGAAGAAAGAGAAAGAGAGAAAAGGGAATTCGAACTTCTAGGCGACTCGGAAGTCTTCTTTGTTGTCTTTTCTCCGTAAGCCAACTCGTGACGCATCTCTCCTCCATGGACGACTTCCGCGATCCAAAGTTCCCCGTGCCAATACTGCGGAATCCATAAATCGGGCAGTAGCGTCGATAGACTGCTCCTCGGTACCGATAAAGGAGATTTATATTACCGGGAACACCCACGTCACCGACAGAGGCCGGCGATTTAAATGGCGAGACCCGAAGGAGGAGGCGGAGGAACCATAATCGAGGTGGCATGCACTTCGGCGTAACAATCGTACATGCATCGAGGCAGGTCGGCTCGTTACTCTTCCCTCATTACTCGTTACACGCCCCGTTATTCCGCAATGCCAAGGGAGAGGCTCTGAAAGGGACCCCCTGTAATAATTCATAATAAAAAAGGTCCTGCCCGAAGATGGATTCCCTTCTTCCCAGCCAAGAGAGAGGGAGAGGAGGCGAAGAATCGATAGGTGGGCCGAGAATCGCCGGCGACGCCGCACAAAGGAATATGTCCGGGTTTTCTTCAGGGTCCTGTGAGATATCAGAGCCCATTCCGGAAGATATCTACCCGGCAGGTGTCTCTCGAACGGCGGAGCCGGAATGCAATCGACGGAACGAGGGAAGAGATGAACTTTCCTCGAGGACATTCCCGGCGGAGCTCCCGAGTCCTTTCCTCCATTCAGCTAGGACCATATCCTGCGGATCCTTTATTCAGCCCTGTAATTTACAGAATAGGTCAGCAGGTTCAACCTTACCCCCCGCGGGGGGTCCTCCCAAGGGCCGTTTCGAGAATTCTCTCCCGTATGGGGTGCGATTTCGGCCGGTCCTGATTAAGAGCGGAGAGATGGCCTCCGGAAATAACGATCGGGCGAAAAAACGCCCACCCTGGGGCTGACTTTTCGGGGCTACTCCGAAAAGCCCGGGGGAGAGGGGCGAGAAATCGATGCCCGGCCTTCCGGTTCCCCTTCGGCGAGAAGCGAGTTCCTCCACTGCCATGGCGATGGAAGCTTCCGATGACACGGGGGAAAGTTGGTCGTTATCATAATGCCAGTTATCGGATACCATCGATTTGATCGGGCACGCTTGTTATGCATTGCTTCCACGAGGCGCAATTTGACCTGCCTTTAAGCCCACGACATGAGCATCGATTTACCTTGTAGGGTTTACGTACGACATACACCGGACGTACTGATAAAATTCAAGGAATTCGTTTACGTACCCCCCGGATGTACTTATCAAATTCAAGGCATCCCAGCCACGTATGCGGACGCGTTTTCTGTTTTCCATTTCCCTCCTCTCATTTTTTTTTTCTTTTTTTTTCCCCTAATTTCTCCGCTCGCCAAATTACTTCCCTGGTCCAGATTTCCGTGGGATTCTCGGAGGGATCCTCCAGCAGTGAATTTCCGAAATGGAGAGAGAAACCAAGACATTAGCGCTGCGGAAACTGGGCGGCCGGCCTCTTTAACGCTCGCCCCGAGTTCCGCCGTGAAAAATGGGGGAAAACTCGGCCAATACGGTCCATTCGCGCGGATTAAACGCGAGCCCCTCGAGGCGGACCAGTAACGCTTTCCTTCGGCGTGAAATGGCATTCCGGGCCGCGTTCCAGCCGCGGATACGAGTGGCGCGCATTTGCAACATCTCGCTCTACCTATTTCGCGAGATTGCGAAACGGCCGCGTCGGGTTGACCGGCCGGCACGCGGGTTCGACATTTCCCATGGAAAATTCCTGGAGGACTCCTCTCTCGGCCTTGCGAACACGGCGAAATATGTGCTACGAAGTGCCTAGGGCTGCTTATCTGGGTCACGTTGGTCAGTAAACGGCGCTTTAATCTCACCTGTTCGCCGGCTTCATCCGAGGTTCACCCGGCGGTCGGATGCTGCGCTGGACCATCCGTTACCTCTCGACGTTAATTCGCCGGAACGTTAATTGACCTCGACGTAGATACGAGGTGTGGACTCGCCATCTTGACGCATTGCGATATCTCCGGAGAGGCTCTCACCTGAAAGGAGATCGATAGATCGTTTCGATTCACGGCTCGCGAGGTAGATCCCACTCCGACATTCACGGGCTGTGTAAATCCAGTTTGAGGCACAAACAAAATGAACAGGCTCATTACAATGTTTCTGTGATGTAGACATTCGTGCCACGTTGAGTTTTTGTTTGTGGCATTTTTTTTCCTTTACAAAAACCGGAACTGTTCGACAAGATAAACAAATTCCGAAATCGTGAAAATTTGGATTTTTCGTCCCTAATGGGTTCTGTGACGTTAGGGATATTTAGAGCCTCCCAGAACCTGAAAAACGTTAACTGACCATTTTCAAGATTTGTTTTCCATGGCTTAGGCTTCTCGCAGTGGCTCGCATTAGTTTGCGCAAGTATATCGCGGGGAGTACTTATGCTCAGAATTTTTTGGGACCGATAGGAATAGTCCTTGGCAGTGAAGAAAATGAAAGTCCTTAAAAACGTTCAAATCTTCCTTTTCACTGTTTTTATGATTTTTTTTCTGTAGCTCAAGGTTCCGATAGGAGCGTGAGTTAATTTGTGGGCGTACCCTGGGGATAGTTCTTGAATTCAGAATTTTTTTTAAACCGATAAGGGTTGGCCTTAACAGCTAGGAAAGTTCAGAGCCTTCCAGAACTTCAAAAACGTTAAAATGGTCATTTTCGGAACTTGTTAATTTTTCTTTAACAGTTTTGATTTTTATTAAAAAAAAAAAATGCCACAAACGTCTACCTCACAGAAACGTTCCAATAAGCCTGTTCATTTTGTTTGTGCCTTAAATTGGATTCCAGGTTCACACCGCCACATCCACGGAAGGGTTTCGTGAAGGGCTCCATCCTTGTTATGATTTCCAGCTTCCGGAAATTCTCCGAGAAGGGGGTGAATCGAAAGGATAAAACGGGGGGAGAGGGACATGGGGTTCCTCTTTCTATCTCTTGGAGGTGGAATAGGGTGGAGTGGTCGTAATGAGTCCAAGGTACCTGGCGCATCCAGTCGGTGTCCACGTCCATGGGTCGTGGAAGCTCGGCGGAGAGGGAGAAAAAAATGCAGGGAAAATTGCTCGGGGTCGTTTTTAAAATTCTCGCTCCAGTGAAGCGCAACCCAGTTTCGACATAAGAAAGGCGACGGATTATACGCCGGCGAGGCTCGAGATTTTCCCGTCTTGGTACGTTCCTATCGGGGTGATACCCTATTACGTTCCCGCTGCTTGTTGAAAATTGAGACGAGGGTTGCCTCCAAGGCGGAGACAAGGGACGGCACGATGCTCGAATTACCGAGAACGGGAGGAAGCGGGGCCGCGTGCAAAGTAGATGGTCGGGCGGATCCTATTGTTTCCGACCCACTTCCAAGTGCTGGAAGATTAACAGACACATATCTGTAGCTACGGTGAATGGGCAGGATTTTCCGACGTTTGAGTTTCGGGATCGTTTGTTTAGCGCCGGCCTCGTCGAGCTCCGGAACGCGACTCCTCCTCCTCCTCCTTGAGGAACATCATCCCCTGGAGGGCCTTCGAAGATGTCACCGTCTTCCACGTGGATGCACGTTTTCGCACCTGGTGATCTTGCGAGAACACCTCGAGTTGAAATTCTAATCCTATTTAGAACCTCTAATTGTAAACCTTTACGTGATACGAAAGGGTTATTCTACGATATATATTACATTAAACGTCATAATACATTAAACGTCAAAATGTATTGATAAAACTTTTCTCCAAACTGGGTGCACCAAATTATTTGAAACATCAGCACGTGATTAGGAAGGCCCTAAGGAAGAAAGTAATGCTGGTGAAATTTCATTTTTCAAAATAAGAAATTTCTTTCGTTTAGCTTGGACTAGAACCAAAATCACATTTTTCTTATTTTTGTGAAAAATGAAATTTCACGAGCATCCCGTTCTTCCTTGGGGCCTCCATAATCACATATTAGTTTCAAATTATTTAATGCACCCAGTTTGGAGAAAAGCTTTATATAGATTTTCACGTTTTATGTACATAGAACGACCCTTTCATTTCACCTTAAGGTGACATGGAAGTGGCGTCTGAGAGGTCAATCGTTTGTGAAACTTTCCTCTGAATAGGGTTGTACCGAGTTTTTTTTAAAACTTTACAACGTGAATATGGAGACTGCAAGAAAGGTCCTGATACCCCGTAAAATTTCATCTCTTTTTTTGGTTTTAAATTGTTTATAGACATTCTCCAAATTTTCTGTAAATGAAATGTCATGGGTGTTAAGAACGTCCTTAGGGTCTCCATGTTCACGGTGTAAAGATTTAAAAACAATTCGGTCTACACCCTGTTCAGAGAATTGCAGTCCCGTCCACGGTCGAAACTGCTCTAAATAAAAATGTTGAAATCAATGGCAGTGCCTACTTGTTCATATTTTTTTTGGAATGGGAAGCTTTTGACTCGCCGAGCAGAAACCGATACTGCGACACGTCGGAAGAAAATCGGAATCGGATCCCTTGTATAGAGGGACGCTTCATATCCGAAGTGTCGCTTCACCTGCCGGAATCGCATCCGCGTTGCTAATGAGATATCCAATTACCGGGCTGGTGCCCGTCATTGGTGGGTTTTCGCGAATCCTCGGCCCGATATTCGCAATCAACCTGCGGAAACGTCGTGACGGCTCCTCTGGCAGTTTCGTCAATGGTGCGAGTCATCGAAAGAAAATAAAATTAATTAAAAAAAATTAAAAAATAGTCGAAATCCCGGCCACGAGGAAATTGTCAAGTTACGGCGTCAAACCTCGACGGAGCATTTCTTTTTAATTTATTCACCCGAGCGATTTCCCGCGCGCATAGAATTACGTTTATGTCCCAAGTTCCACGTGACGTCGTAGTGTGCGTCAAAACGTATAGAAAAAGCTGAACTCCCGAATTCCATATTCCGATGGCATTGTCGTTCCAATTTCTTTAGGAGATTTCTTTGTTTTCTCAGAACAAACCTTACATTGGTTCGCCCATATCGGTGGCGAAGATGACCTCCTGGACCTGCCAGGTAACGCTGGTGTGCTCGGCAGGGACTAAAAAACATCCGGCGAACTAACAAATCGAATTCGAATCGTCGATCGTTTGTCAATTACAGCTGTTTGATTTCCATTTGTCTAACGCAAACTATTGTCTGAGTCGCGCGCAGTGCCCGGAATTTCTGTGCATAAGAGTTCGATACGACTGCGTACCACGTGTTCGCCGATTCTGAATTGCAAATACGGAATTAAATCAGCCTTTGTGTAAAGAATTCGACGACTTACGGATTCGTCTTTGCGGCGGCTCTGTCAATTACAGCTGTTTGATTTCCATTTGTTTAACGCAAACTATTGTCTGAGTCGCGCGCAGTGCCCGGAATTTCTGTGCATGAGAGTTCGATAACGACTGCGTGTCACGTGTTCGCCGATTCTAAATTGCAAATATGTAATTTAATCAGCCCTTGGGTAAAGAATTCGACGACTTGCGGATTCGTCTTTATGTCAATTACAGCTGTTTGATTTCCATTTGTCTAACGCAAACTATTATCCGAGTCGCGCGTAGTGCCCGAAATTTCTGTGCATAAGAGTTCAAAACGACTGCGTGCCACGTGTTCGCCGATTCTGAATCGCAAATACGTAATTCAATCAGTCCTTGAGTCAAGAATTCGACGACTTGCGGATTCGTCTTTATGTCAATTACAGCTGTTTGATTTCCATTTGTCTAACGCAAACTATTGTCCAAGTCGCGCGCAGTGCCCGGAATTTCTGTGCATAATAGTTCAAAGCGACTACGTGCCACGTGTTCGCCGATTCTGAATCGCAAATACGTAATTAAATCAGCCCTTGAGTAAAGAATTCGACGACTTACGGATTCGTCTTTGCGGCGACTCGCAAGTCGGCCGAATGAATCGCTCGAACGGAAAGTTATTCGACAAGTCCATGGAATCGAATATTTTTTATTCTCGAGAGAAAAACCGACTCGCGCGCGGTCTCCGTGAAAACCTCTTTTTTGAAACGCGGTTCCCTTTGTCGATCGGTATTACATTTTCCTTTGTTCGCCCGGCAACAATGCGATATCGGGCCAATACCAAGGTAGCCTCGCTCGCGCCGGAATGGCGTCGAATCCAGCATGCATGGTCGCACGTTGTGAGCGTATGTGTCGACTAATTCCATAAACTCATTCGACATCGGCATGCTAATTTAACAGCTGACTGACGCGTGCATACGTATATATGTCTACTGTAATACATAATTTCACGTGAGGACTGACACGGATGCTGCAATCTGATTTGTTCTCGGCAGATGTGAAGCGCCGCAGCCTCTACGAGGAGGACTCCCTCGACGGCGATCACCCTAATGAGAATCAAGGTATCAGTAATTTTTTTCACCTGCCAAAGGGTACACTCTCTCATCTCCCTTGTCCAGCAATTCCACAGTTTCGGCGACATCCACGTAAATCCGAGATAAACCACTCTAATGCCTGAAAGACGATTTTCCACAATATTTTCACCTGCAATTATCTCTCGCGCATTAATCTTCAAGGCTCCCTAACACTGTCCTATCACGCGTAATCCCCCTATCAAAAATAAATATGATAACTGCCTCGTGTCTAACCGTATCGAGAGCCTCGGCAGTGCTTCCAAGAATAACCGGTTGATTTAAAGAGACCGTGTACTCGTGTACTCTCGCTATTTACAAACTGCGATTGCTCGGTCGGCTTGATAGCGAGATCGCGTTCCCCAAATCGCGTATTTATCGATGTTCGACCTCGGACTTCTAGTCGGTGATATAGTTAACGGCCTGGGAGGCAATGGCATGGAATAAAGTGTCGAAATTACGGGCCGACCCGCGTTAGTTGAGAGCATAATCGAGAACACGATCGAAAACGCGTTTCGAGGAGGTCGAGGCGGTCAGATCTAAGGACCCTCTTTCGTGTTACAGGACGGGATTCGGCAGGAAGCGCAAAGGACGTGGACAGGGCGAAGCTCGTCCGCGAAAGGCAAAACGAGGAGAGGCAGCGGAAGTTGGAGGAACTGAGACAACAAGCACTCGCTGCCCAACGTTTCCGGGAACAGCGAGAAGAGGAACGACGAAGACGCATCGACGAGCTGAGGTCGCGCGACAACGACAGGTGATTAATTTAAAAAGAGATTCTGTTAATGCCTTGCAGACCATCGACGCATAGTGGGCCCAGAGAGGGTCAAAACTGGCATTAAATCCAACTTGAGTTATTTTAGTTCGTAAAGTCCAGGTCAATTTAATGCCAGTTTTGACTCTGGTTCCACTGTGCGACGACACGAAACTGCGTTAAAAATCTTCATTCAATGTAAACCAGGAATTAAATATAAATATTATACCTTTTATAGTGACACTTATGTATGGGTGAAAAAAAAAGCGGCTTGCACATAGAGAAAAAATGTTCATGGATTTAATTAAAAATGGTCTGATTAATGCTTCCTTCCAAGGAAATTATTTCTATGAATGAAACTGAAGAAATGAACCTTAGCGCCGGTTTCTTACTTTATTATTTTTTAATATGAGGTATTTGATCAATTCGTATTTTTGTAACGGAGACTAGGTTTCTTTGATTTTATGCTACGGTTTCTTTAACACCATTCAGAGAAATGATTTCCTTGAAAGAAGAAAAATGTTCCCTCAGTGCAGGAACAGTTTCCTCGAGTGAGAGAGCGATGTAGAGTATTTCGGAGCAGCAAAGTGTTAAATTTGAAATTTCTGTTAATCGACGGTGGGGGATATTTTCTCGGTGTTAATTGGAAATCCTTGTTCCAGACGAAACCAGGTGGAGGAGCGTAAGCGTCTAATATGGGAGGCCGAAAGGGAGAGGCGCGAGGCCATCCTGAGGAAGAACCAGGAGAGGGAGGCTCGGATCGAGGCGAAGAAGAAGAACGAGAGGTCGCACATAGTGTTCGCTTTCGGCAGCTCGACACCGAGAATGCTCGAGCCCGCGGACACCGGTGGCTCGTCTTTCTGGGGGACTCGTAGGGCGACCTCGACGACGAACGTCATGATGTTCACGGCGGCCCAGCCGTTGACGAGGAGGTCCTCCGAGCGCGAGCTCGACGGCAGCAAGAAGAGGGCCACCTCGGCCGGAGGGCTCGATCGGAAGCCCGGCGAAGGTGAGCTCAAACGTCGACCTTAGACCTTACACATCTCGAGAAGGTAGACCCGAAGACTGGTGGTCGGGCCGTCTCGCAGCCGAATTTACCGAGCGCGCCATTTTGGAGAACCCTGGCATAAGGAACTTCGACACCGCCGGCGGACTTCCCAGTTCCTAAAGGATTCAATTTTTCGCTAGGAAAAAGAAAACGTTTTACCGCGTCTAAGGGTACCCGTAGAAGTAACGATAGCGTAGAGAGCGTTACCATGAGTACCTGAAGTTCCCAATTTGAAAACCTAACGGAGCTGTGCAGACCATTTGGAGCTGATCGCCTCACTAGGAGTGAATCGTCTGTAGCGTCATCATTGACGACTCATGCGTACCTTTAGAATGTGTTTCTCTACCCGGGTACGAGCGAACCCGAGGACGAGGCCACATCCTCGAGCGGTGGGAACCGAGACACCGGCATTTCTGAAAATCGAGGATCCATTCGGGCTCGGGTCCAGCGGGCTTTGGGGAGAACGTTCTCCGGAGACCGGGATGTTTCTTCAGCTCCTTGTCGCGATTACCCGTCCAAGATTCGTTGACGGTCGCGAGTCGGATGGGACGAGTGGGCATTATGCGGTAAGCACTGTCGCGAGGCTCAATGACTGCCAAATGAGACACTCTTTCCGGGCCCGACTCGCGGGTAATCCTTGCGGAGAGGCGCAATCGTTTCTCCGGCTCTTCAGGGTCTCGGGGAGGGTTTCGACGCTGCGGTAAATTCGACTGGGACGGCTCTCCTGGAAAATTGATCCTTGACTCAATAAACGGCACCGGTGCACGCGGCTTCCCACCCGCGCGACTCTTGTCCGTTTCTGTGTACATAGATATTATATACATATATATATACCCGGTCTTTATGCATGGAACGGAGACTGCGTAGCATCGTTAGACGCGTGAAATGGTCGTCCGTATTGTTTAATGATTTATGTGCCACGTTTATTTATTCCCGTCCAGGCGCCCGACATCTTTACAGCTCCTTCGACACACACACACTCTTTACCTGCAGACGTTGAGTTGGCCGCGTTACATCGCGAGGTGTATACCTGAGTTTGCTTCGTTTCTTTGCTTTCGTGGCAGAGGCGGAGCCCATACACGTAGATCACGCAGCCGGCCGTCGTTTCCATCGAGACTAGATCTCCGCACCCTCGACGTATTCCGATTTATCGGACGACTATTCGCGCATTAGTCGACCCTGTAACCACACACGGTCATGTCATTCGGCGTCAGGTCTACCGCTCGCATTTTCACATCTGTACATTAACACGTTCCCTGCCGCGTGGGGCGTATGCGCCCCACGCTGAACTTTCCGTTCAAGCCATTTGGTATTATCATTGTAAAACGAAGAATTTTTAAAAAATTCATTATGCAGTCAATTATGGGCATCTTAATACTATTGCTGATACGCTCATTTGACCGTGGGGCGTATACGCCCCACGCGGCCTGAACGTAAAGTCTTTAAAAAACGGTCTGGCAAGGAACGTGTTAACGATCGTTTTGCTCTTCCGCTCCGGTAACCGCGTTACGATACACTTCCCGAAGAGTCCACTTAGCTAGAGATAGAGAACGCGGTCCGTAGAGATTCGTAGTTCACGATTCCGTATCACCCTTGACGTTTCCCGAGACGACCCAGAGGTAGTTCGCGACAAGTGACGAGGACAGGCATCGCGACGTCCTTCGCGGAACTAGACGGAGAGTCCTTGACGAGTCCTGACCCATCCCGGTTGAGCTCCACTCCCTGCAGCCCTTCCAAAATAGGAGTCTAATGTTACAGCGTTGGCTGGTTTGTTTGCAGATATGAGAATGTCCTCGTCCATGTACGAGGTGTTCAATTGGAACTCTAGCCCCGATCCTCCCTTAACTCCTGCCAAAAATAAAAGAGCCAGCCTCTCTCTGCCTCCCACCACTGACATCTTTGCCATCGACGATAAATCCGATAGCGATACTAAACGTCCAATGATCCAAGGGACGACCAGTGGTGAGTCCAGAAGCCAGAAGCCTGCATCAGGGAATTCATTCTGTTGCCTCGGAACAAGCTCTGTCGGTCTTTGTCTCTCATTTGTTAGCACTCACCCGTCCGAATTTCTCTTGTTTTCTTTTTTTTTGATTATCCTTCCTTTCTCTTTCTCTCTTTCTATCAAACGCATCGATTCGACAACACTCGCATGTTACTTCTCACTATCGCCAGCCGGAAGAGTACGCGGATGTCTCGGAAAACGCGATCTCGTCGTCGTTAAACGATTGGCGAGGTATTCGCAGGTGGAAACATACAAGTCCCAGCTTGGAGCCGCGTTTGACGCAGAGAGGATAGAATTTTGATACGCATATTGTCGCTGCATTCTACGCGAGTTCATATTTAGTCAGAGTAAGAACCGCAGGGATCAGGAGACCGTTTTTGGGAGAAATTCGATTTTGCAGAGACGATCCTATTTTTAGGCTGACATTTGATCCCATCTACGCAGTATGAAACTGACTCCGTTAAAAAAAAAAATGGAAAAAAAAATCCCGAGATCGCATTTGTGCATGGAATCGACGCGGTTGCATGAGACGAGCGGACGAGTGGCGAATACCTCGCAAAACGTGTGTAATACGCGTCAGTCACCCCGAATATTGGCGACAATTCGGGCCGCGTTACAGTAATCCCTCGTCGATATTACCCACGTCCACGCAGATGCAATTTGTCGTATCACGTCGGGATCGATTCATTGCGTCAGACGTGTCGGGCGCATCCAAGCCGGCGTACTTATTCATTTTTTTTTTTTCTCTCTCTCTCTCTCTCCATCGCCGAGCAGTCATCCGATTACTTCCTTCCTGCGGTGTTCGCGCGAAGACGCGGCAGGTTTTTGCTTTCGCTCCACGGCTCGGTCACGTTACGCTCGTCGCTCGATTAGCTGCACCGACACGTTGCCCGATTTTCGTTTAATTTGCTATCGCGCTCTCCTGCCTGTCGAGCATGTCTGGGATTTGTTCTGTGCGACAGCTTCTGCGAGGATCTGACGGCGACGCGGCGTCGAGCGTTTCGCCACCTGCGGAATCGCTCCCCACCTGGAATGGCACGTCTCCTTTTTTGTTTCGTTGTCTATGTGTGGCGCTATTTTTAAGACCCGTCCCGGTACGTCGAAGCTCGTCCCAAAATGCACTGGTCGGTGTCGCGAGGAAGCGAAAGAGGGACGCAAGAGGTTCGACGTATCGGGGGTTCGCTTCAGGCCTGGTCGGAGCGCGTCAGCTGATCGCGGCTCCGGGCACGTCTAAGCGCAGATTTGAACTCTTTACAGGCGAGGAGGCTGACGGATCCCCCGGGACCCCGAGCTCGGTGTACCTTCGGGTCAACAGACGAAGAACCGACCTTATGCCCACCATACCCTCGCCCAGGGATGGGCTGCCGTCCGCGGGGCGCAGCTCCAGCGCCAAGGCCTTCACCCGTTCCCCAGGTAGGACTTACTCCATGTCCAGGCTGGACCAACTGGCGCAGCCTCGGAAGCGTCCTGGCGAACTTAGCACTCTGACGGAACGGCAACCGCAACCTCTGGGCGCTTCTAGCATGAGTCGCAGCATGTCTCATTTGGCTGCGCCTGGAGTCAAGAGCCTTAAACGCTCCGATAATTCTCGTAGCATGGGTACGTTGCCAGGCGCAGTCCCAATCTCCAGGCCCACCAGAGCCGAGAGACTGCGCCGTAAGGCCCGCGAGCATCGGAACCATCAGCAACAAGGTAAGTCCCATTCGTGTGCGCTCAACTCGGCCCGAGAACTCTCGTCACTCGGATGTTCCACCGAGTAGGGGGGGATTAGGTACAATTGTAACGTCGATTGTCAGTAAGTCAATTATTAGCGTAAAAGACACCGCCCATTCAGGTGACCAGGTGACTAATTGATTCGAGTCGATTGGTGAATGATCGTTGTCCTATTTCGGAGGCGGTTAGCGTTCCCTTTTATATAGATGTGTCGTATCGGTTTTTTCTGAATTGGCGAAAAAAATGTTTACTCGTATTATTTTTGTTATCTGGGTCCGTTACGTATTACTCGTTACGGTTGAACCTGCAATGAGTACGGTTGTGACGAGTGTCAGCTCTGAGTTGATCATCATCGATCATTTTTTTTCCCCGTAACCTCCGAGGAAGGTTCCTGCAAGCTAAACGACTAAATCATAGATGTAAAATTGAAAGTCGATATTTTTGGACAAAGTGTAAAAGAAATTCTGTACCAAGTATCGTTACAAATTGTACCCGATCTTCCCTACTTCTTTCTATCCGCGTCACTGACGAGTCTTCCAGGCTTTGTCGCGAGTTGGGTGCACACATGGGAATGCATGACAGCGCAGAGACAGGAGTCATTGTGAATCAATCGCTAATTTTCCTGGATCTCGAGGTCGCGTTTCCTTTCTCTCGCTTGGCGGCGCAGTTTAGACGCTTTTAACGATTTCGCTGGTCGGACTAACAAGATTTTGTTGTACGGACATCCTGTATGCAATACACGGGAACATAGATCTTTGCTTCTATTTAACGGGAGGTCCGCGGTATTTAATCCAGCTTCCAAACTAGCGAGAGACTAAAATACGAGATGGTAGCCTTGGGACCCTCTTAATCAATTTATCGTCGCAAATAGTGGCTCCAAAATGGCGGCGCGTTAACGCCCTAACACATATCCGAGAATTGATTAACAAGAAGCTCCTACTAAGAGTCCACTGTCTTTACACCTTGGTTTACGGTGATACGGGCTGTGGTATCACGCTAATCCTGCGTCTCTGGTAAGCTGCACATTTTACAATCTTCTCAGTGTACATAACATGGAATTATATATTTTTATTCAATGTACTCCTCGCACCGAGAATGGCCCTTCCTCCAACGCGGCATTAGCAACGCTCCATTAGCTCACCGTAATTTAAATATATAATTTCATCATTGTTTTACATTAATCTTTATTTCTGAACATTCTGTTAGCATTAGACGGCCCTTGACTATCGGTGGTGGCTCGTGCTTCTGGACTATACTCTTCCATGAAAAAGATTTACCCTCCGAGTCTGTCGTTACGCGGATCACATTGGGCACTTGTATAACACCCAGTCGATCGGTTTCCACCGCATGGAACATCGTCTACGGATCGATTATCCGGCACAACTTATCGGATGTCTTTCGGAATAACTTAAAGTCCTCCCTCCAAACCGTCCCTACCCTGATAAAAACGCCTATGTAAATTTACATACTCAATAATTGATTTTTTCCATCCCACGATAAATTCCAGTAAAATGACGTTGTCTCTGTAACGTCACGATATGAGCATCTGAGTTGAATAACAGGAAGTTACGATGTAACGTTACATTAAATTCAAGTAAAAACCCACCAATACCGGTAAACATACAATGTTAGGTCTATCAATACACTTTATAACCCTGTACCTCTTCCATTTAACGTCTTTCTACGTAAAAATGGAATTTACGAAGTGCGTAAAAATGTATGTAAATTTCCATCGATTCTTATCAGCGTGCATAGGATATTATCTAATGCTCATCCGATAGGTTGCCTTGCCTTCGACGAACCGACCACATTATTTGTCATTAACGTTCTCCCCGTCTCGCTCGGGACATGGCCCAGCGATGACGCTTATGGACACGCTCGGAATCGACTCGACGTAATCGGTCACTAGCGGCGAATCTCATGGTTGCCATTAACGTTACACGGTGCACCGATTACGAGTCGATCGCGAACGGTGGTGTCGAGCCTTGCCTGGAGTCGCGTTGCACGCGCATCTCGCGAGGGATGCATCTCGCGACCTGGCCGTGTAGGAAGAAAGATGCTCTAGGTGGAACCTAAGTAAACGGGGGTTATACCGGGTGGACGTAGGTATCCGCAGCGGTGAGGTGACGCCGAACAGCCCGTCGCGACCGCACAGCTCCATGAGTCAACAGAGCGCCAGCAGCGTGGCCAGCAGTACAGTCAATCTGCGTCCTCGCACGACCACCCCACGCCGTCCGCGACCCGCTTCTATTGCCGGAACCGGCGTTTCTGTCACAGACCGACACAGTGAGCATGGCTTTCTTCCTTCTTTCGTAATGGCTAGTCGACATCCGAGCAGAAAGGGTCCTCTTGGCCGAGGCTCGATCGGTCAATTTTCGCGCTAACCCACAAACACTTCAGGTGGCATGAAAGAGACGTTCTATTGGGTTGATGCATAAGTAATGCCGTTTTTTACACGTCACGGGTTAAAAACGTCACTACTTATGCATCAACACAATATATATGTGAAACGTTAAAATATATATGAAACTTTTATCCAAACTGGATACACAGGACCATTCGAAACTTCATCGCGTGTTTATGGAGGCCCTAAGGATGAACGCGATGCTCGCCGAATTTCTTTTTGAAAAATGAAATCTCACGAGCAACGCGTTCCTTCTTAGGGCCTCCATAATCACGTGATGAAATTTGAAATAGTCCTGTGCATCCAGTTTGGATAAAAGTTTCATAAATATTTTGACGTTTCATGTATATTGGGCTGATACATAAGTAATGTCGTTTTTTTTGCACGTCACGTTACGGGTTAAAAACGCCACTACTTATGCATCAGCCCAATATATATATGAAATGTCAAAATATTTATGAAACTTTTATCCAAGCTGGATGCACAGGACCATTTGGAACTTCATCACGTGATTACGGAGGCCCTATGGATGAACGTGATGCTCGGGAAATTTCATTTTTCAAAAAGAAATTTCCCGAGCATCTCGTTCATCCTTAGGGCCTCCATAATCACGTGATGAAGTTTCAAATGGTCCTGTGCATCCAGTTTGGGTAAAAGTTTCATGAATATTTTGACGTTTCATATATAGAATGACCCTTTCATGTCATCTTCAAGCCTTGGCGCGAGACTCTACACTGATAGAAACGTGAGTTTACGTAATCATTGGTTATTTCGGTATCACGATAAACTGCAGTAAAATTACATTGCCCCATTAATATCACGTTCGGCATCTAAATTATAACGTAATGTCCCATTTCATTGAAGTAAAAATTCACTGACATGGTGAATATAGAATCTTCGGTGTGTTTACACGTTTTCTAATTTGTAAGCATGAAACTTAAGTTATGACGGGCGTAAAAGTGTACGTAAACTTCCATCGATTTTTATCAGTGTACTGAGGTGGTCTCGTTTTTTCTTTTATTCCTTTACGCGGATGGAAATTGATAAGAGAAGAGAAGCTCGTCGTCAAGAGGATGTCATTTGTCGGATGACGAGGACTCGAGGTAACGAGATCTCGACTGGAAAGGTTTTAGGAAGGACAGGGGAAGTCGAAGAGACGAAACTTGTCCTTCTCAAGCCGAGGTCTTCACTTAGGGTTAGGATGTACCGAGTAGAGGTTCGTCATGAGCATTGCAGCTCGGGAGATGAGTAACAGGGCGAGAGTGCCCTGAGAAATGGAGATGCGCTTCGGAGCCACTTTTCTTTCAACTTTTCGATTTATTCATCTTTTTGTCGAATCCTAGCTTCATAGTGGCGTTATGTTCAGTTGGCCTCGTTCTTATAGGAATGCATACAAAGCTTGATATATTTTTTTCTATTTTACATTGGACAAAGTCGATAGAGATAAAGACACTCCGAAGCATTGCACGTGTAAATATAATGTGAACGAAGGAGGTGGAAGTTCAGGGTGGAGAGTGATATCGTTCTCGTTTGTAGATCTGACCGGAGATGTCAGAGCGACGAAGGATTCTAAGCCACCACTGCCAAAGGTCCACAACACTCCAAAGAAACCATCCACTCCCAAAGCTGCGGAAACCGTGAAGAAGCCGACCGAGAAGCTGATCAAGAGTGCAAAAGCATCGCCTCGGGTCACTCCAAAAGCAACTCCCTTGCAGAGTCCAGGAACGGAGCATGCCCCGCTTATTCGTGAAAACACCACCGAGATCATCAAGGAGGTAGAAGGAGAGAAAGTCAAGAGCATCAAGTCGGACGTTCCTGAGAAACAAGAGGAGAAGAAGGACGAGGGCACGGAAAAGACGCAGGTGAGGCGTCGGGCCCCGTGGGGCTCATTTCAAAGTCGAATTTATGGACTTCTTTATCTTATCACTTTCTGCCGATACAGGTCCAAGAGGAGGCAGGAGTGACGCAGTCAGTCACCAGTGAAACGAAGAACGCGGTTCCTGCTCCTCAGCCAGTCGTTCCTGCACCCATCACCAAGTCCGCGAAGGAGGAGGTCAACTTTGTCCAGGAGTCGCAGCAATCCGCTCCTGTCGCGCCCTCCACTCAGGAGGTTCCTAAAGTCGAAAAGAAAGAGGAATCCAAGTCGGAGAAGAAATCACTGGAATCCGAGGCGAAGGCAGAGGGCGAAACCGACGAGCAGGTCGATATGTCCGGTAATACTCGCAGCATTTTAAAATAATTTCTTATCATTAGAGGGGTCCTTTAAAACGGCACTGGACATTGATTGGGATGTTCATTGATTCCCCGCAGCTTCCATGATCGCGAAGATCAGAATCACTACCGAAGAGGAAGCCAAGGCTGCGTTGGCCGAACGTAGAAGACTTGCTCGCGAACAAGCTGAGCGGGAAGCGGAACTCGAGCGCCAGCGACAGGTAGGTTTTCGGGATTTTTAAGAATATTTTTAATTAAGGCTTCCGTGGGCTCGTTACGGTGAATATTAATGGCCCGTGTTCTCGGTTTCTAGGAGGAGGAAGCACGCAAGGAGGCAGAGAGACTCCGCCTGGAGGAGGAAGAACAGCGACGGTTAGAGGAAGAAACGCTTCGGTTAGCTAACGAAGCTCGCGAGGCGGAGGAACAGAGGCTACGATTGGCGATCGAGGAAGCGAAGCGACGCGAGGAAGAGGATCGAAAGAAGAGGGAAGAAGAGGCTCGACAGAAGCAGGAGAAAGAAGAGGCTGAGCGGAAAGCTAGAGAGGAAGCAGAAAAGTAAGAACCGTCGATGCTCGGAATAATGTCCCTGTAAAGCCGTGTCAGACTTTAGCAGTTCACTGTTAAATTTCTCGTCTTCAGGCAACGCATCGAGATGGCTGAGCGTCTTAAAAAGGAAGAGGAGGAAAGAATTGCTCGTCGCAAACGCGTCGAGGCGATTATGCTGAGGACTAGAGGAAAGAATCAGTCCAACACGCCTACCAAGGTAAGGGATAAAATGAGCGCCGGCGTAGAAATTGTTGATACGGAGGAGAGGAGGCTTTAAAATGTTTATCACGAATCGATAGGGAGAGGGTGACGGAGATAAATTGAAGGAGGACAGCCCAAGCGAGGAAAATAAATCGAGGCCGGGCAATAAGGTCGAAGACGTGATGACAGCGAGTCTCATTTCGGAGGCTACGCGACAATTTCTTAGTGGCGAGCAACAGGCTCACCATGCTGAAAACAATATCGCGCCAGACATTGTTCGAAACTGCACACATAGCAATGGTATAAACGAGAACAAAACTCTGCTGGATAATAATCAGGGGAACGAGGAAGGGGAACTGAACGGCCACCATACAAATCACGGAAATGGTATCAACAGCCAAACGATCACGCTGGATAACGCTTCTGTGTGAGTATGTCAAGTACAAATCGTTAAAGGTTCGCAATCATGTATACGTGCCACGCGAAACAAGCTCGGATATATCTTTGCAAACGTCATCATAGCCCACAATTTCGCAGTTGTATCAATTTCTAATAATCTCTATGGTACCGGCGCTCGGAGAGGCACGTACGTATATAATCAAAAGTCTTAGGCGCACCGTCATGAAGAATTTCATTTCCTATATTTTGCCTGTTCGTCGACAATAATGTTTCTTATGTGATATGGCGAATTGTCCCTTCCTCTTGACATTTGTTAGAAAAATGTCACGTTTGTGGGAGCGTCTTGCTTAACTCGCTTTTCAAATCAGACGCTAAAACGCTTATGGACTATGATGATTTTCGTCCGAAACGATACTGAGAATTACGTAATTATCGATATCGAGCCACCGATAAACTCTTTTAAGATTGCACTTCGCTCGGTTTCAAGTTCTCGGGCGGATTTTAATGATTTGATTGATTACCTATTGCATGATGATTTAGTCACTACTGCAACATGACTAATTGCGTCTCATGACATGTTTGGTGCAAATAGTTCCTGTTAAATAACCGATTAAGTACCGTTCGTTAAGTAAATAATTTCCTGTAATTAATGTTCGTGCGGATTTGCATCGATATCTTCTGTGATACGAACAAAAGTAGTAAATCCCGCGCGTATATAATTTATTTAACAATACTCCCGCGCATTGGTGAAGACCGAATTGGGTATTATTCTCTTTTTTTATATATATTTTCTCATGGAACGATTTCCAAAATGATCACTACACCATTGTGTATCATACCATGAATTTTACGACATTCATGTACCGAGTTCTCGTATTCGTTTATCACCACACGAAGTATAGAGCTTGAAGTATTGAGTAAATATCAATTACCATTAAGTTATTCTTTACAGCTTAAGGCTAGAACATTTGTTGAAATGGACCCTATTGATGACTACGTAGACGATATATATATATTTTTTTTCAATTTTTTCGAGTGGCACATTTATTCTGGTCGTTTTCTTAAGGCATTATCTGGATTGTTGTTATTATAATTAATACTGTTAATATTACTAAGTGTAAGAGCGTAACTATTACGAACAACTGTGCATCCAGAGCAGTTTTTTAAAATCTAAGCAATTCCACCTTTATTGCATTTTACCACCAACATTGTTCAATGCTACATTGCGTTCCTGGATCTCATTGAAGTTATTTCCATCCTCCTCAGGATACGTAATTTTAATCGCGAGAGCAGATTGGCGCGTGTTATGCATGTTTTTTTACCGACTCGTATTCCGAAAATTAAGATATAAATCCAGAGCAGCAAAAAGAGAAGTCGAACGTATACTTAGAGTTATATTAAAGGCAGGATGATGCCTAATCCTTTGGCCTTACAGAAGTCTATTGTTTCGGTTCGCAAGTTCCGAGTTAAACGACTAGAATAACTATTGCTGCCGGGAAGCATAGAAATGAAATCGTAAATTAAATCTATAAATGATGATTTCGATACGTCAAAGCTGTTGATAATACGTTTGGAGTATAAATTGATTATACTATATTCCTGTATATACGAATAGGTTACGTAGTAACAAATTCTTTTGTGCTTGTCTAAGGACTATCTTAGGAATTTACTGCCTACAACTTTCACCTAACAAACTAACGACTCTTTTAACCGCGATTACCAAGTGCAGGTTATTCTAATTGACATAACATACATTGCAAAAGTAGCCAGAGCACGGGTTGACTAAAATAATTACGCCGTTACGGTTGACTACTGATACATATTGATTATTAATAGTTTGCATTACATGCTGTAACAATTATAACCATATAACCGTTTAACATACCGATATGTATATTATATTACCTATTAGAATTATGTATATTTTATATATCATAATTAATTGTATTAGCTGAAGGTAACATGCTAAATCTAGCTAGTAGGTATGGAACAAGTTAATTATGCGCATATGCCTTTCCTTGTTAGCGTTGCGTTATTGACATAAGGTTTACCGAGTGGAAGCGCGACACATTGAATAACTAGCCAGAATTCACATCTAATGTCAACTGTCATAACATTAAATTCAGTGTACATAATGTAAAGAAAAGTGTGCCGTATAAACGTAAATGAATCATCTGAAAGTATTGTACATAATTTCGAAGGTGGAGCTCAATGGAGACCAAGGTATGCTTTCTTTATTAGTATCTCCAAAGCGTCTTATATTTTCTAAAGGAAGAACGGAGCGATTTAAACATCTCGATTGAGCTCCCCTTTTTTCTGTCTTTAATTCCTTCAAACTATCGCCGAGAAAGAAAAAAAAATTATCGCGCGGGCGTTGCACACTGAAATCTTCGTCGATAGTGTTGTCCACACTTGGTGCATGTTGTCTTTCTAGTAATCAGGTTGATACGGTGTTGTGCTTGTGCCTCTTTTGCATACATCATTATAAATCCCTTCTATGCTGGCGTTATCTTTCATTGTATACACTTTATGTCAACTTACTGCCTACTTTTGCCATGTATTTGGAACATTTATGTTTGCATACATCAACGCTAATCTTCCATCACCAGAAGCGTTCTGTCCAATTTCTTAACCCAGTCGTACTTTATGTATAAAACACGTGTACTATGGAAATCAACGGTAGAGGCGTGAACAATGTTTAACCGTGGTTTATAGCATGGGATCGGATTACTAATAGGCAGGTATTGACAAGTCAACTATTAATAAAATTGTACCTATACATTCGTCATTTGACTGGTGAGCATTAATGCATCACATGGAGCTTGTCACAATTAATCAAAAGACTGTTGATGGATGTCGGTTACGATTAGCATTACACCAAGCTGCATTTGAAATGCCCATATTGATTAACAATCAGTTCACACATCCATCGTCCTTTGAATAATTGCCAGCCGAGTTTAACCATCCATACACATCGCGTGCAATTAATTATTTGCGCAGAGCCTCTTATCGAGTTGGGCAGATGTTTTAACGCTTCACAGTGATTAAATAATTTTTAACAATTTACGTAAGGTTCCACGATATGTAATACATAGTGCTGCCGGAAGCGGGGAACGGAATTTATGAGTACCTTAAAGTGCTTGTCGTTGTAAGCTTTTAGATCGAGAATCCTGATTTTACAATAGTACCGTTCAAGCCTAGCTTCGCTTAATACCTGATAATTGTTCACGAAAGATGCAAAGCTCTAGCGTCGTTAATACGTTAACTATACCTAGCATTCGATTGAAATGAACTAGACACATCTGAACTACGGATATTATTGCAAGTAACACTAGTCCGCTTTCGAGTCTAATCTTTCCAACGTGTGTTTAGTGATGGGCAGATCGGTACAGCTTCTCCGAGGTCTGTTGATCGAAACTGTCATTAAACAAGTTCTTGATAAACGATATCACTAAGCATCCGTTCGGAAATATTGCCGACTTTTTGTGAATGGGCATTTTAGACTAGTAGATGTACTTTCGTACGCCCAACGTCTTTTGTTCACTCAGTGTAGTTGTTACCCAGTGTTTGTATGTTTCCTATGGCTGGTTTTATAGCAAGCAAAACAACGTGACCAACAACCTGTTAGACCTGTCGGAGTTTGACACTTTGAGTAATAGCGGTAGCGGTCCCATACTCGAGCTGACGCCAAACCTGGCAAATGAAGATACTCTCAACTCAAATTTAAATCCATCGGCTCTACCATTCACTCCCATGGGCAACCCATTCGTGCCTGCAGCTACTAATGCCAACACGAATCCGTTCCAAGATGCTTTTACCAACAAGCAACAGGACAACAGTCAAGTACCAGGTACACTCAGAGATTTTATACTTCACCATTGTCACGAAATAATGGAAGATAACGTTATCTCAAGGTGCACACTCAAATCCGTATAAGCACCATATCAATGAACTTCCTCTACTACCGCTCGTCTCCTTTATCTGTTACAGATCTTCTATCATAATTTAATAATTAGACAATCTGGTGAATGCAGAAAGGATGAAGCTGTGTGAATCGCCAACTTGCTACCGGCAAGCTTGGGGGATAATTGAAGCGGTGATGTTTATGAGAATGTAAATAAGCGCTATAGATGTAGTTATGAAAAATGAAGATTTTATTAGGAAGGAAACAGTGCGGCAGTATCCATGTAAAGAACTGCCACCCCTCCCTCCTTTAGAACCGTAAAACTCTACGCATTATCTTAATGAATGTAAAATAATATATAATATTAATACACTGGCGACCATAGACATTCAGCCAATCGTAGTAAGCTAACTGGTATAGAACTAACTTTCGGAGGACCTTAAAAGGGAATAATATCTATTTATAACACATAATTTGAGATACACGTCTGTACTTCATTGTATCGACCCTCCGTTAAATTAATTTTACGTATCTTCGGTCCTTTTGAGCGCTTTTAATTTTCGAGCTGATTGTTTAGGAATCGGTAAGGTGGGATTTGCGAACGATATCGTTAAGCACTCTGCATTTAAAAGTACCCTCCACTTTATTGCGGTGCGGGATGTTTCGGTTCGTAGAACCTCGATCTGATGCGAATTGTTCGGCAAAAGTGAAAACCACTCTACGTGCGGCCTATGCGTCAATCATCGATTAGGGAATTCTTATAAATTTAGCATGACAGCTTAGCGTTTCATCGTAGAGGGAGAAATTTCTTGTACACGTGTATAATCCGTTGCTATGGAGTAATAGCAGCAGTTTTGTTCACACTTGAGATATCGGATTATTCACTCACTAGTCAGTCTCTGTACTAGATTCGACACTTTTCGCATAGAAAGAGCATTGGCACTATGGATTAATCGATAGCCTGCGATAACGCTATTGTTTCGAAAATAACATGCATGCATTTTTCAGACAATGATATCGTACCTCATCGATGATCATTAAAGTACCAATATAGGAAAACACTAATTAATCCTAACTGACGTGAAAGTCTGGTATTTTAGCAGATCTATTGAGAAGCTTATATAAATGATATTTAATATTTTCGCATTCCCTTTAAGATACTGGAATATGCATGACCATATGAGCACAGTGATTTGTTTATCCAAAAGTATAACTATGTCTCGTGTTACATATATCACGACGATTACGGGGACAGTGTCTATTTTAACGGAAATATTTTGTCTATATTTATTTCGAGGGACATAACTAGAAATTGTTATTATTAATATCCTTTTTTTACCGGAAAAGTGTAATCTGTATATGACAAAATTGCTATTTATGGGATTTGGTGCTTGTACTGTTGTTTAAGTTCTGGCAATCAGGCTTAAGATCAGGCAATAAATGTAATACGTCCAATTAATGTACACAGTCTATTCGTATGCGGTATTACTCTTATAATTGAATACAAACTTTAATAATTATTTTCGTAATACCTACTTGCTTATCACCAATATTCCAATTGCAATTGAAATTCAATGGAATGTAAGCCGAAATTGTTGATTAATGTATGATTTGTTAATGAAATTGATGTATTGTGTAATAGCTCACTATTTAATTAATTTCGAACGTAATTAACGTTACTTGTCTCCAGAAGGTGTTTCATTTTCACAGTTGCGTTTATGGTACTCAAATGAAAGGTGATATAAAAGACATTTATCCCTTCGTGTATACATATGTTAAGAATTACTATGTAGTCAGTATCATATATTGTACCATTACACGTGAACCAATGAAAGTCTATTTCAGTCAATAGTTTGCTCCCTTGTCGTCAAAATTTGAAGTACCAGTTATTACTAACAGCATACGATTTTCTTATCCAATAATTCCTCGCATAAAATTTCCTATCGTGTTCAATCGACATACTTATTCGAACTAGATTATTCGACACTCCTTATTGCAATTATCCATATTTATTCCAAAATTCATGTTGATCCCATTATTACTTTGAGAATATTTTCCAGTACGATGTAAGGAAGTGACGGTTGTATGACATGAGAGAATGTTTTTGAATATCAGAATATCGAAGGCACTAACTCCCAGTCATGTTTGAAATTCTGCGTATTGTAAAAAAGCTTGTATGTAATAAATATCTAATAAGAAGAATATTGTTCTTACTTGTTTCGAATCGCGTATAAGATATTACAGAATTCCCGAGACGGCATCTTCAATTTTACATGGTGCTCATCTCTGCGGTGGGTAAGCAATATAAAATTTATAAAATTTATGTAATTGTAATTAGCAGTACAATAGACAGATTTAAGTTGCCGATCTTTCACTCCAGACCTCTACTACTGATTCTGTTGACGCTAATGTGAAGTTAAAGAAATAAATGGGTTTGCCGAGATATTTCTTAACATGTTTACCGATTAACCTGCTTGATCGATAACGATGATGAAATCCAACGTTTATCCTCAGAATTACAGACTCTGTTACAGAACGGAACACCGTATGTATGTACATACATACAGAAACGAAAATAATAAATGGTTAACTCGGTATGTTACCCACGAATTTGCGCAGTCGATGCGCAGTGCTGCCACCGTGCAGAATGTTCGAGAAGCTTGCCAGTTTCGAGTCGCACGATTAATGGCGTCCGAACTAGTTTGTACCATCCAATGTAGAGACCTACCGTATTTCTTTCCTTTTTGGTGCCATTCCGACATTATCAACGGTGAGCAGAACTCTCTTCCATAGAAGCGACCGGTCGGTAATTTGAACTAATTCGTTAATTACGCCAAATTCGAGCCCCCTAATTTTAAGCCAGCAGCCTTGTTGGACCGAACACCAGCATAAGTTTCGTCCATTAAAAATTCGTTTGAAAATAAAACCAAGATTTTACCGTGTGTGCAGCATGGGACATGTATTTGAGATGCAAATCCGGTCACGCAGGAAGACGTAAGTTGTGGGAGGATGGGAGTGAATATATTTACGCTGTTAATAATATTCCACGGCTAACTTTCGAGAATCCTCCTAACAGCTGTTCTTTGTTCCTACCCTAATACATGAGAACCATTGTCATAGATTATTCAAAGAGGGTGGAGGAATATAATAAGAAGGCGCACGGCGAGGCGAAGTATGCTTGAATTATTTATTCGAAAATCGAGGGGGAGAGAGAGAGAGGAGAGGATACCCAAAGGTTGTCGAAACATCAGGTGAGGAGACAGCGGCTTCGGTGTACGGAGTACCAACACCAACTATCCGATGTACTTAAGTGCCTGTACGATGGTACCAACACTGTTGAACCGAACTCGGCGATGCAGAATCTCTAAGATGGCTCGTTAAGTATACCTTTCTCAAGAGCACCCACCTTCCATCTATGCCCGACATGTCTGGTAGGAGGGCAAGCTCTCTTTGCGTACCTCGAAACGTATGATGTACCTATATACCACGCGGTGTACACGTACGTTAACAAAATGCCGCGGATAAATATAAGCCTCCTATAAATTGGGGAACGCCGGAACGTTGCGGCTTATTCCGGATCGTTCGGACTGACGCATCCCGGGGTTTCACCCTCGATCTCGTAATTCCTAGGGATTTTCCAGGCCGTCCGTCAGAATTATGGTGCCTTCACCGTGGTGATTTTTGGCGAGTACGACTGGCGGTTTATGATAAGAGGAGTTCAGGGATTTTTTAATCAAAACTGGAAATCGTCACCATCATCATCGAGAATCACCGGAAAGGATTTAGGGTCACGTGTAAATTGAAGTGAGGTACATGTTATCGTCGATTGTGTATGATTAATTCCCACAGATGTTAATCCTTCCTGAAACTATTATAGATTCCAAGTATGGTAGGGTGTCGCGGGAGAATTGTTCCTTACGGCAGCACCTGGATGTCCGAACGACTGGAAATTGGTTAATGAGCAATTGGACGGATTCTAGCTGGTCTCCTTGGACGGGCGGGTGCCGGCCCGTGAAATTCCTTTCGGCGATTAACATTCCTCGATACGGTATACATTATGTACAGGGAATGGAGCGACGTTCCGGGCATTTCCACCGTAACCGACTGCAGGAAGTTCCTCCGACCGGGAACGCTCGATTTGCTAATAGGACGACTTGCGCTTGCCCGTGAACTAACATCCTCTTAGCCAACAAATAATTCGCCCGGTTTAGAAATGCACGTTTTGGAGTTCCGATCGATCATTCCCGGTAATTCCCGAAAATAGGAGATGAAGAGAACCCTCTCGTTACTCGCGTCCTATCAATTGCGTCTCCCTCGTCCAGTCGGTTTTAATACCCCTGAATATATTTTGCCCTTCCCAGATTATATCCATTTGGACTCTACTCGAGTGCAGCCTCGACGATGAATATTTTATGTCAGTCCCGCGACCCTTCGGTCTCGAGGTATTGAGGTTATGGGACTCCGTCGCGATAAGACTGACAGACACCAGTCACGTGGTCCACGCTGAACATACGCAGATAAGAACTGGGTTAAAAGCGATTGCACATTTTTCAAACCGCGGAAACGTTACGCGTACCACCCTGGGATTCGGAGATGCGAAAGGAAATGCCTTCCCAATGGGCGCTAGCTCGCAATCGCGACACCCCCCTGACTTTTTACATCCCCGGTTTACGGCTTGTAACGCATAGCAAGTTTCCCCGTGTAAATCAAGCCCGGATGGCCGAATAATTCATGGACATCGCAATTTTACCGCCTCGAGGGAGAGCAACGGATTTCCATTTATTTATCAATAATGAACTTTTGAGGGGCGCCGGGTGCGTTCGTCTCTCTCCCTCTCGCGCGCGAGGCATTGACTCCGTCTTCGTCGCTCTTACTGTTTAGAACACCCCGCGATACAGGGTAAACGTTACCAAATATACCACGCCATGTATCGTGTATGGACACATGACCTGTCATTTTTCTCCTATCGATACGAAGCGTCAACGGACCAATGGGTTTAATACACACACGGAAATACTTTTTCGGCCTCGACCGGCGGCATCAAAATCTCCATAACGATGCGAATCCCCCGATGATAACGCAACTCCGCGTAACGAGCAGACCGAATCCAGGATTCCGGGACTTTCCTTTTTCCATGTTTTTTTTTTTTTCAGATTTCGATTGTACACCGGTACCGGAAGTGTCGTCCGCTCGGGGGAAATAAAACTTGTCTCCGGTGTCACCGCAGTTTCTGTACCGAAATCTTCGTCTCTCGATTATGCATCGCGGATCCGCCATTTTTTGGCGTATCCCCCAATCGATTCCTAGGAATTATTATATTCTATTTTTTTTCTTTCGGTTCGCCTGGTTATTCTCTGTTCCACCGAAAGCGGGGACCTCCCGGGGGTCTACTGCTTTCCAACATGGCGGACTTCGGCAACCGTTCCGGTCCAGTTTTAATAGTATCCACGGGCACGGGACGCTATCAAACGACGCCGCAATAGAGAGCCGATGATACGCCGACCTCCGGTGTTTTTATTCCGAAATTTTCACCTCCGGTATCCGGGCCACTTGTGCCTCGGAAAATAACTCCCGTTTCCGGTGATGCGCCTACCTCTATAGCGAGTGTGTGTTTCAGCCGCAGCCAGGCTCGGTTTTGGGGGCGCGACGAGGTGAGAACTTGTACCAGTTCTCAATTAGCGTTTCAATGTTTCCGATGCGTACTCGGAATCCACCGACCGATACAAAATCAGGTGTTCCTCGGACCGGACGAATCGACGCGCATAAATTCTGCCAGCGTGTAGGGGTAAAGTAGAATCGGTGGGTTGACCGAAAAACAAGGGTAGTTTCGTAGGAATGAAAAAAAAAACGTAATTCATGCACAAGGGATTTCTACTCCTGGTGGCCGACCAGAGATCGCCGGGGTCCAGGTCGAGCCAGGACCCGTGGTCGCCTTTCGCTCGTATAGTCACAAGGATTCGTGCCTAGGCTCGACGTGGGCTCGTTAATTAGATCCTAACGCCAGAGCAGCTATCCTTGTTCTAGATTGCCACGCAATTACGGGGAGATGGACGGTGCCGCGATTCCCGGCTCGAGACCGAGTCCTGGACCGTTCCGAGCCGGAAACGCGATCCCACGTATAGGGTGTCCCGTTTGCCTGGAAGGCTCGAAAATTGCACCGTCGTAAATCGTTGTTTTTCAAACGGCTTAACTTCCCGGCGGAGACGAGCCGACGAGAATCAGCTGACTCGCTCCTCGCGCCGTTATATTTCCTGATTGTAGACCGCGGCCATGGGAGGTAATTTCTCGTTATTAGCATTAAATCAGCTTCTCTGGCGCGCCGGGAAAAATTACGGGCTATACTTACGCACGATGCGTTGCAGGTTACGCAAGGCTGTGCGCGCTGCAAGGGTTGCGCGCCGCGCGCAATGGCTGGCGGGTAGCGACTCTCGGGTGGCGCTGGAACTGCGCTCCCTGGCTGCGAGAGGGAGAAGGACGCACTTACGGGTTGCCCGTTGGTGCGAGGGAGATGCCAGATCGCGGGACCCGCATCGGGGGCGCGACCGCGCATGCGCCGGCCGCGGTATATAAAAGCAGCCCTCGCGGCGGGCCGCTCAGTCTGGCCGCGGTACCGGTACCGTGGGGTTCTTTTGCCGCGATTCGCCACGGGTCGTCATGATGCTCCCCGGTTTCGATTAAGAAAGCGCATCCCTGATCTAACACCCTCTTAGGCTCCGGGGGCCCGTCGTACAGCTGTACGTGATATCTAGAGGACGCTCTTGGTCGTTCCCGTAGACGTTTACGCTCGGAAAACCACGTGCACGCATGCGGCTGACGCTTCTTTCACATAGTTCACCCCCCGACCTCCCTCGGACCTGCTGCACTCTTCTGCGCTCCCCGCGCGAGGGAAGGAGGGTTGGCTTTCTGTTAGGCCCTCTTAGAGGATGGATGTTAGTTGATGATTTTATATTTTCACCTTGAAAACGCTCTTTATGGGGGTTACAATTAACAAGACGATTTTCATCCGAACTAGGAGGACTTACGGTCCAACCTGAACTGATACCCTTACCATCGTTGTTATCACTAAGGATCTATTTATTTTGTATTCAGATTTTTTACGGTACCAAGCTCTACGATCTTCCTTGAGGGAATATGGAAAGTTCACCTGACGTAAAGTATCGATGCTGGACTTTTTTTTTTCTTTCCTTTCTTGGAGAATGACG